GAAATGGATATGATCTACCGGACATATTCGGAATTGATTAAGAACAAAACCCTGCCTGGTGAAATATACGTCAGATTCTCTATGAGATCTATGAGAGATGCAATATTGAAAGCAACATCTGGGACTACACTGAAAATCAAAGAAGAAAACATCAGAATACTAAAAGACATTCCATTTGAGATAAGGAAGAAGAGAAAACAATACAAGAGCTTAACCACCTATCTACAGGAAAATTCCACTACCTACCGATGGATACTACCTGAAGGCTTGATGTTCAACTACAAAGGCAAAAAAGAAAAGATTGACTCTTTTACCAAAGTGAAGCAGTTTTTGAAAAGGTACCAGGAACCTAAAGAAGATACAAAGGAGGAGAGGAGATTGGATTTATACCCTGCCCTTCACTAGATGTCTCAGAGCAGCTTTCAAACTCCTTTCCTTTCCCTTCCCCACAACAGACACCCTGTGGTAGGTGGGGCTGAGAGAGCTCTGACAGAAACTGCTCTTTGTCAAGAACAGCTCTTATCAGAGCTATGGCTTGCCCAAGGTCATCTAGCCAGGTGCAAGTGGAGGAGTGGGGAATCAAACTCGGTTCTCCCAGATTAGAGTCCGCGCACTTAACCACTACACCAAAGAACTCAGAGGAAGAAGAAGGAGAACTGGACAGTCCGCATGGCTTGGAAAACCACTAAACATCTGCAGGTGGCAGCTCAGAAGTACAATCTGAATCAGAATTGGGAGCGGCAGCACCCAAACCACCCCGATACGATAAAAGGAAGAAGAGAGGAAGGAAAGGCAGAAAATATCTTAAACTTTAGAAGAAATGTTAGATTACATTATTTAATCTTGCATTGTCAATAATTTCAATTTTCTGCATATCAAAACAATAGAATAAAATTTTTATTCTTAACTTGAATAAGAGAAAAGCTTTGACTTAAGATATTAATTATTATCATATATGGTTGTTGTATAGCTGTAATTTTAGTTAGTGTGTAGTTTTGTAGGATTTCTGTAGAAAATAAAATAAAATTTAAAAAAAAGTCCTTCCTAATCCACAGGATATAACCTTTATAAAAAGAAGAAGAAGAGAATGGATTTATACCACACCCTTCATTCGGAGTCTGAAGAGTAATTTACAAACTCCTTTCCCTTCCCCTCCCCACAACAGACACCCTTGTGAGGTAGGTGGGGCTGAGAGAGCTCTTTCAAGAACTGCCCTTTTAAGGACAGCTCTGATAGAATTGTGGCTTGCCCAAGGTCATCCAGCAGCTGCAAGAGGAGGAGTGAGGAATCAAACCTGGTTTTCCCAGATTAGAGTCCGTGCTCCTAACTACTACACCAAACTGGCTCTCAATCAAAAGGCAATCAAAAATAGGTATTTTTTACTCAAGAAATCTATAGGTGGCTATAGGAGGAATTCTAGTTACTGCATTAAACAAAATGAGTGCACCTTAGAGTGCAATGTGCAGGTGCGGCTATTTGATACTAAGCATCTAATTTCTTTCTTCTTTCTTTTTTTGTGTGCAAAATCTGAAAGGAGAGCTAGACAGAGACTTTAATGTTCTAATGAGAGGGAGGACTCTGTTCTAATATGCTCTTCTCCACCACTAATTCACTGCTTCTTCCTAGGAATTGTTTGACAGGTGGCAAGGCCCAACTCTACTTAGAAGTCAGCTCTTCTGACATTTGAGCCCTTCCTTCAATGAATATCACGGAGTAACTTTAATCAGTGGTCAAAGGAAAAACATCTTGCATATCCTTACAGTCATTCTTATTACTACATTATTCTTCCAGAGCAGAGCTCTTGCAATAGGATAACTACACTTCAAATTAAGGCCTATTTCCAAAGAAGGCTATTGGAGAGAGAAAAAAGATAGGTATAAAAAGGATTTAAAATGCGGGAAAGTGGAAGGACAGATAATGATAAGATTAAAAATGTGTCTCTGTAGAAAGAAAATGTTTGTGAATGAAGAAAAATGAGGAACAGACAAAGGAAGAAGGGTGGGGAAGTAATGTGATTTGTTTGAATATAATGGGATTTGAAGACTGGAAAGGCCAGGCTCTGAAGGCTGAGTTTTTGTACCTGTGTTGACACTTCCCCCTGCTGCTTCATCCTGCAAGAGCCCCTATAAAGAAGCTGCTGTCTTCAGACAGCTGCATAATGGGAACTGACTCTTGGAGAATTCACTTGGAAGGGTCCGAGACTAAGTTTCAAAACCAGAGGCATTCCAGTCAATGTTATGGAGGGTTCACTCTCATCCCTGACCCTCAGGAAATGGCGCATCTACATGCCTTCAAGTAAGGAAGCTGAACCACCAAATACTTTTGGCTCAGGTAATCAATTCTCAAGGAGATCTAATAGAGACTTATGGTTCCAGTGGGCTTTTAAATTTTTTTGTGGTAGGTCTTTTCTACAACAACCAGAGGCTGAGTAACGCCCGAGCGTGTACAGACGTGTTCTGCTTAAGAGTTCACAATGCAGCTTGAGAGTGCCAGGGCTCTGTTTCAATTAGTTGCTATGATTTTTTCCATTTATGGGGCTAGGAAATTTTGAAATTAAATGGTGTTGCTTTTTATCTTTCTTTTGTTATGAATATTATGACGATTACTTCAAAATAAGGAACTTTATATAAGTAAAAAGGTTTTCACACAAACATAAAACAATAGGAGAATCTGAATGTCGAGAACTATAGACTTTTTTGTTTCAAAAGCTTCAATATTGGATTATACTTGTGTAAAACCAATATCTGGCAATCAGCCAGCTGAATTTGCCTCCTTATGCCTCCTCCTCTCATCTGATGCTGGGTAAACTGTTACAAGGATAAAAGAAGCGAGAGAAGAGAAGACGAGATTGGATTTATACCCCACCCTTCACTACCCAAAGGTGTCTCAGAGCGGCTTATAAACTCCTTTCCTTTCCCCTCCCCACAACAGACACCCTGTGAGGTAGGTGGGGCTGAGAGAGCTCTTGACAGAAACTGCTCTTTTTCAAGGACAGCTCTTATCAGAACTACGGCTTGCCCAAGATCATCCAGCCGGGTGCAAGTGGAGGAGTGGGGAATCAAACCCGGTTCTCCCAGATTAGAGTCTGCGCACTTAACCACTACACCAAAACAAAAATGGCACTACTTTAAGTGAAAGAGGACTAAATAGCTAGATTGCTCACATGCTACATTTAAACTGTGTAAAAAACCAGGTTCTGGAGAAAATAAAGAATAATACAGTAGGGGAGAGGAAAGGATTACAAGAGGGAGAATTGGTACAAAATGTACATAAGGAGTATGCAGCAAGATGAAACAGAGTAGACATGGTAGAAGTTTCTTGCAGCTAAAGTTCTAGTTATCAAGTTCAGTTTTTAAATCACCAGTTCTAAGAGGGCAGACATATTTCTATACCCCTTTTTATTCAGACTGACAGCTGCCCTCCAGGATGTCAGGCCAGGGTATCAAGCCATCTCTGTTATCTACAGGAGAGGTCCTCTGTCTCATATTTTAAATAATAAGCAGCAGCATTCAGACTATGGATTTTAGTGCCTCTACTTGCCATTTCTCTATATCCTTTCATTTTTCTCTTCTTTTGTTTATTTCATGTGGAAATTTTTTGGGTTTTTTTTTTACATTGTGTGTGTGTGTGCGTGCACGCATGCACCTGTGCCTGGAAGTCATGGCAACCTCTGCGGCATGGAGGACATTCAGAGAAGCGGCTTGATAGTGTGCCTCTGCCTTCTGGCCCTGGAATTCTTTGGTGGTCTCTCATCCAAATACTTGCCAAGGCCGGCCCTACTTAGCTTCTGAGATCTGACAAGATCAGTTTTGCCTAGGCTCTCCAGGTCAGGGCTCATGCAGAAATTTTTGAGGCTTTATACTTAACGTTTCGGGATAAGTTTTTTGGGAAAGGAACAATTTCATCAGTTGTATTTTCAGTCTTCTTCAGTGTCTTGTTAGAAACTAACTGTATGAGACTATCTGTAGACTTAGAAAAATTAAAACTGAAAAGCTGCTTTGTTCCCCCCCATCTGCATAATTAAATAGGTTACGGCTTATTAAAAAGTTAACTTTATGAGCATCAGCATTACATTTGTTTGATTCAACATTTAATTACTCATATTCCCCATGATGGGAAACCCCACTTTCTGCAGTACATTAATGAATACCATTTTCCCCCTTATTGTCCACCTTCGCGCCTAATATGCTTGGTTTATGTATCTCCCCTGCTTTGCTCTCTTTTGCATCTGGCACTGGGAGCTGCCTCCAAACACAGCGTTTCCATTCAGCTACTGTGGCTAATGACCACTGACACAACCATCCTCTGTGAATCTGCCTAATCCTTACAATAAAGCGATCTTTCTACTCTAGTGGCTATTGCTCCATCTTGTGGCAGCAAATTTGTGTGAAGACTTTGTGTACACTCTCATGGTTTGGAGCCCCTACCCCCAATTTCAGAAGCAGAGAGATGGCTGTGATCATTCAGCCATAAAAGAAAAATTTAAAAACAGAATTCTAGATTAATGCACCTTAAATGCACACTTTACCCTTTAATTAAGGAGAACCTGTTGTTTATGTTTACAGACAGTAAATATCAACATTTCTCACTGTGGTGCTCAGATTTCTTTTGGGTCCTCCACTGTTTCCAAACTCAGTCAGCATAAGTGCTGTAAATTCAACTTTAGTCAATTATTGTCTGGTTCCAGCACTGGGCAGAGGGAGGCCTTAAACTGTAGAGTCCAAAGGCTAAAATCACCTGTCACTGGGAAGTTCCATTTCCTTCATGAAGGAAATGTGCACTTTCACACCACAACTGCTCCTAAGCAAGGTACATAATAAAAACACATTTTCCATATGGACTATTGATTATATACTTCAGACACTTAAACTCAGTATGCTATGCACTTAGTCTGTTACAGCATCAGTATTGCAACGTTTGAAAATTTTGGTGTGAAGTCTGCTCAGTCACATCTCTCTGTATTTCTTCTACAATTTTTCAGAAATTCACAATAGTCATACCTCAGAAAATGAAAATAGTGTAGAATCCTCACTTTCTTTTGCATCTGAAGGGACATCTGGTTGTGATGGGCTTGAAGAGATCTGATTTTTTTTTTAAAAAAATAACACTGAATATTACATTGATGTCAACACAATCCATTTTGTTACTTCATTTGAAATGTCAAAAAGCTTTTCATACTTTTGATTTCTCAGGACACACAGCACTACAGAGAAGTTGTTTTCTTAAGGGACCAGTAAATAGTAAATTGCAAAAAAATACCAACATCACTTCCACTACTAAAATCTGTGGCAGACCTAGCATGACAACCAGAACAAAGAAAGAAGAATTGCAAAGGAACTAGCAAAGAATCTACCATACAGATAACAGCTAAGTCAAAAGCTTTGATCTCATGTGTTGACAGAAAGCAAATTATGCATACAATATGGAATGTTAGTTGCGCAAAGCACTAAACTCGTTCCTTTTCTACCATTCTGAATGAATAGTAGAATGGAATTAAAATTTCCTGATCAAGATATGCAGATATTATTCTGAAGACGCTTATAGCTGGAACAGATTGCACAGATTTCAAATGACCCTTCTTACAAGAAATGACTTTTAAGATAACACCCTTATGATTTTAGTGGCTGATTCTTTTTGAACCCCTGAAACATTCTCATATGATAGCTCAAGATTTTATGCTGCCAATGGTAAATGTGTGGTCAAAGCATTCATTTAGAAGACTGTGATTTTCTGGACTACTCTGAAGAAAATTGAAGGCATGAGCTTGCTAAAGTTACATATTTACATCCCATTTATTTCAACAGGACACATTTCTTATCTTTGCTTTTCTTTGGCTTGACATCTCAAGTTGTATTAAAATAAATGTTAGAATGTATAGAATATTCAGTAAATTCAGGCTAAATAAAATGTATATTACAACTGCATACCCAGTTAAAATTTTTAATTCAGCCAGCAATAAACTTCTAAGTAAACTCTCACCTAATTGCCTGTGGGGAGTTACTATTGCCTGCAGGTGACCAGACAGGAAAGCTCATATAAAATAGAGAGCTGTTTATATTTTTCTTTCATGTCATAGGGTGTGGTAAAATTACTAACATATGTTTGTATGGGACTGTCAGGTTGCCTAAACTATTTACATATCATTAATTTCTGTGAATGTATTTACATTGCAAGGTATGCCACCAAAACAAAGCCATAATAAACAAAAAGTATTTTTAGAACACTTCTGAAATGGTTCACACATTCATAGGTATCCAGGGGAGTGGAATTCTACAGCCTCTTTTATATGCCCATGCTAGGTAAAGGTAAAGGTTCCCTTGCTCGAAAGCCAGTCGAATCCGACTCTAGGGTTGCGGTGCTCATCTCCGTTTCAAAGCCGAAGAGCCAGCGCTGTCCGAAGACGTTTCCGTGGTCATGTGGCCGGCATGACTAAACACCAAGGCGCACGGAACGCTGTTACCTTCCCACCAAAGTGGTACCTATTTATCTACTTGCAATTTCTTGCTTTCGAACTGCTAGGTTGGCAGGAGCTGGAACTAGAGACGGGAGCTCACCCCTTCTTGCGGCACCCGGGTCTTGAACTGCTGAACTACTGACCTTCCACAGCCTGCAGTTCAGCGTCTTAACCACTTGAGCCACTGCAGCTCCACATAATAAACAAATTCAATAACTATATTTGTGCAGAAACAGAAATGGAAATTACCAGTCCGTAACAGGATCCCTGTTTGATCCTTGAATTTGTTAAAAATCTTCGTTATGCTGTATGAAAAAGCAGGTTGGTTACCAGTAACTGGTGATCTTCGAGTGGTCATCTGTGCATTCACACCCATGGGATCTAGTGCACACACACTGGATCGATTGGTGCTGTAGCAAGCTCTTTTAACAGATTTTCACGCCCAGTCCCTCGGGCATGCGCAGGAACCCCACCGCGCATGCCCAGAGGGGTGGGCACAGACATCCCGCCAGTTCCTTCAAACTGCCACAAATCAACCCCTATTAAAAATGTAGAAGCTGAAGGGGAAGGAGGCCGGGTGGTGGGAATGCACAGATGACCACTCGAAGATCACCAGTTACTGGTAAGCAACCTGCTTATCTTCGTCGTGGTCTCTGTGCTTCACACCCATGGGAGATTAGCAAGCAGTAGCCTACCTGGAGGAGAGTGCTGGCAGGTCTTTCACTGCATAGCCGAAGACAGAATGTGACATCCCATGTTGGTATTGGTGTTCGTAAGGACGTCTAGGGCATAGTGCCTAATGAAGGTGTTAGGCGTGGCCCACGTAGTGGCTTTGCAAATGTCCGTCAGCGGCACTCCCTGGAGGAAGGCAGTGGAAGTCGCGACAGCCCTGGTAGAATGAGCCCTGATAGGGCCAGGCAATGGCTGTTTGGCGATCTGGTAACACAGACGGATGAGACCCCCAATCCACTTTGACAGGCGCTGGGCCGTGATGCGAGTGCCCAGACGTGCCGAAGTGTACGAGATGAAAAGTTGTGAGTCCCGCCTAGTTGGGTGTGTTCTATTGAGATAGAACAGGAGAGCCCGCTTCACGTCCAAGGTGTGTAATAATCTGTCCTCCGCTGATGTTGGATTTGGGAAGAAGTCAGGGAGGAAAACCTCTGCCTGCAGGTGGAACTCTGACACCACCTTCGGCAGGAAGGAGGTGTCTGGGATGAGGCGGACTCCATCTGGCAGAAACGACAGGTAAGGTGTATCGTGTCGGAAAGCCAATATTTCTCCAACTCGCCTTGCCGATGTGATAGCAATTAAAAAGGCCGTTTTCAATGCGAGGAGTTTCAGGTCACATGTAGCAAGGGGCTCAAAGGGCTTCCACGTGAGCTGGCGTAGAACTAGAGGAAGGTCCCAGGGAGCGACTGGAGTTTTAACAGGAGGATAGAGGTGTAACAAACCCTTTAAAAATCGTTTGGAAATCGGATGTGAAAACAAAGTGCATCCGTCAACTGGAACATGGTAGGCCAAGAGAGCGGCCAAATAAACTCTTAATGATGAATGGGAAAGTCCCGAATCAGCCAAGGAGAGGAGGAATTGGAAAACTCTTTCGAGACCCACTGAGGTGGCTCAAGGGGCGTCATCACCAAGGGAAGAACAGAACCTTCACCATTTATAATTGTAAGACCTCCGCGTAGTAGGCTTCCTGGAATTCAAGAGGATGTTCACTACGCGGGAGGAGAAGCCGGTTTGGAAATTGCGGTATGTCGTGATGTAGGATGGGGGAGTTGGAGAGAAGGAGGAGGTCCTGAGCCGGAGGGAACTGATGATAACTGTGATAACTCCAGGACCGTTGAAAACCAAGGTTGTCTCGGCCACCATAGGGTTATTAAGATACAGTCCGCGGCATCTTTGAGAATTTTAGGGACCACTCTAAGAAGCAGAGGTGGTGGTGGGGAACAGGTAAAGAAGTCCCGAGGACCAAGGGTAAAGGAGATTACCCTTGAGATTGTGGGTCCTTGCCTCCTCGACTGCAGAACAGAGGATACTTTTTGTTGTTTCTGTTTGCAAAGACATCGACTTGGGGAACTCCCCACTTGTGGAAGAGTGGGAGGAGGTATGTTGGGTTCATTCCCCACTCGTGAAGGCTGAGTCCTGCTCGACTTAGATGGTCTGCCTGCACGTTCATGCATCCTGGAATGTGAGTGGTTACAAGGAATATGTTGTTGCCGATGCAAAACTCCCACAGCTGAATGGCGAGGGTGCAGAGTCGTAGGGAAACAGTGCCTCTTTGTCTGTTGACATAGGAAAGTGCAATGGTATTGTCCGTGAGGACCGTGACACATTTTCCCTTGATTAAAGGGAGGAAACTGGTGACAGCGTGTTGTATAGCGAGGAGTTCTAGAAAGTTTATGTGTTGCTCCCTCGTCTGTGTGTTCCACTTGTCTCCAACAGAGAGGCCCATGGAGTGTGCACCCCATCCCGTCAGGGAAGCATCCGTTGTAATGGTGATCTCGGGTGACGGAGGGTGGAGGGGCGCTCCCTGAAGGATATTTGAAGGGACAGTCCACCAAAGTAAAGAGTCCTGTATGCTGGGAAGAGGGGATAGGATGACATTGCGCACGTTTTCCGACTGGTTAAGAGAACATAAGAGACGCCAATGTTGGATCAGGCCAAAGGCCCATCCAGTCCAACACTCTGTGTCACACAGTGGCCAGAAATACCAGTGCCATCAGGAGGTCCACCAGTGGGGCCAGGACATTAGAAGCCCTCCCACTGTTGACCCCCCCCAAGCACCAAGAAGACAGAGCATCACTTGCCCCAGAGCCCCTAGCTATACCTTGTGGCTAATAGCCACTGATGGACCTCTGCTCCATATGCTTATCTAATTCCCTTTTGAAGCTGTCCATGCTTGTAGCACCCACCACTTCCTGTGGCAGTGAATTCCATGTGTTAATCACTCTTTGGGTGAAGAAGTACTTCCTTTTATCCGTTCTAACCCGTTCTAACCCGTTCTAACCCGGTTGTAGTTGTGGATGAACCAGAGTTGTAAAGGATGGATTTTGAGTCTGGCGAAAACGAGAACTGACGTAGTTGCAGCCATGAGGCCTAACAGCCTCTGAATTAGGAAGGCAGTGACGGAGGGTTGGGTACGGACAACGGTGGCTAGGGAAATTATATCTGCTGCCCTGTTGTGTGGCAGGTAAACCATGCATGTCGCTGAATCCAGTATTGCGCCGATGTATTGTATTCTCTGGACCGGATACAAGTGAGACTTTTGTTGATTGACTCGTAGGCCCTGGTTGTCTGGTAAAGCCAGGGTTTGCGCTACCAGAAGCCAATCGTCTATAAACGGGTAGATGGAAATTCCCCGGAGATGGAGGAAAGCTGCAACCACAATCATAGTCTTTGTGAAGACCCTTGGGGCGCTGGATAGGCCAAATGGAAGGGCCGTATACTGGTAGTGCTGTTGACCAATCGCAAAGCGTAGGTATTGGCGGTGGAAGGTGTGGATAGTAAGGTGGAAATATGCGTCTTGGAGATCAGGGTGGCCATCCAGATGTGTCTCCGGAGCAATGGCATGATCTGTTGTAGGGACACTATGCGGAAGTGGTGGTAGGTCACAAAACGGTTCAG